CCGATCCTTCTCGGCTGCGCTAACTCCCAAGTGTAGATTAGAGAGCGAATTAGTTTCGCTTACAAAATGTATAGTACTCAGTATTTGCGCGAGGTAATTCCGGAGTACGTTGAAGCAGGAGGAGAGGAGGAAGTGCCTACAGGTGCATGAATGGGCCGGGGCGTGGGGGACGTAGCTTGTCTCCACGCATCAATCCAGTCATGCGTCTTCTCGGCCAATGAAATAGACAGGAAAGAGGTGAAGGTTTTAGCGCAGAAGGGAATCAAGACGGAGAGGATTACAGTTACATCCGCTTGCCAAAAAGGAGCAAGAAGAGTTTACAGTTGCGATTAGAATTTAGGCGCAGTGAGCGCAGAGCGCAGGACAGGACATACCAATGCGCGCTCGAGTAAGGAGCATCGTACCGTTACAACAACCAAAATCTGCGACAAATTACGATGACCCCGATTCCTAACCCAATTAAAGTCCTTATTCCCGTATTCCCTCGTGTTTCAAAATTCAGAAAGATCTTTCTCGTGTGATGATCGCGCCGAAGTTCCCTTCCTCACTTTTAGCAGAACAAGAAAGAAGCTATGACAACATTTATTTCTGCGCTCGCTAAGGCACGCTCCAACTACCAACCGCCATGGGATCAAGCTTTCTCAAAAAGGATGGGGCCACTTGTGCAATTGGGTCGGTCCGTCTTTTCAACTCCCGAAATATAGTTGCCCAGGAAGTCGCATGTTTTAGAAAGTAGTTCGTCACACTCCTTCCTCAGCACCACGTTCGTCAACTTCCGCCCAATCATGTCATCGTTCTCGACAAGATTGGTGGGAGGGGTGCCTTTTGCATCCATCCTCTTCAGCACTGGAAGATCGGGTGCATGATGGACACAATCTTCCTCACCGGCGGCCACCAAACCTCGGACCTCACTGTGTAGTACATGAGGTTGGCTCTGTTGCGCAACTTCTCCCTTGACCATCTCAACGCTCTCCACTTTGCAGCCGACCTCCCATCCACCATCTCGATAAGAACATCCTCTCTTTCTGCTAGCCACTGGAGCATCTTATATACCGATCTGAACTGCACGTCTGTGGGACGAACCAAGGACAACGAGTCATCGACAGTCATCATCAAGTCGTGTGTGGCATGGTGATTCCTGATGAACTTCACGATTGTGTTCGCGGTTTTTACTGTGCCTTTTATCCACAACAGGTTGGCCAAATCCTTGAGAAAGAGACTGCAACATTGCGCCCCGTAAGGAACCCATGGAATCCTGGCCACGTCCTTGTCCTTGCGCCGTTCTAGGTTCTGCACCGCCTTCTTGTTAACTTCGGCGTTGTCGGTGCAGATCGCGTTGATGCGTTGAAATCCAATCTCCCTCATTACCTGCTCCCACAACTTTGCCAATGCCACCACATTCCTCTTCCTACCAGTCATTGTCACTGGTGCCACGAGCACCGCCCCTTGCTCCCCCGCTGCCAAGAAGTTCATCACTGGCCTATTCCTGCGGTCAGTTTACCCATCGGTGATAAAAGTGCATCCAGTCGAGTCCCAGCAGGCCGTCAGTGGTTTCACCTCCTTTTTGATTTTCATGTAGACGATGTCCAACATGACCGTCCTCATGTAGTTGCACGATGGGAGCTTCACCTTCAGCCTCAAGTTGGCTACCTCCAGGTTCATGGCATGCAATGTCGGAGTCGTGTCCATGTTCAAGAAATTGAAGGCGATACGATCCCTGAACATGGCCTCCGCCCATGCGATGCCCATCTTTTGCTGTGCTGCATTGTCCTGCTGCCGTCGCACAGTGGTCTGTCTAAAGGCAGTAGTTCGCGCTGTCGACCCTTGCCCTTTGTCACCGCGTCTGCCCTCCGCTGCACCTCCGTCCCCTACAGCCTCATCAAGTGCAGCAACAACCACGTTTGCAATACCGGCAACTGCCCACCCTGCAACAGGCGATGGCTGGGGCTCGGCTGTCTGTGGATCTTCAAAACCTTCCTCTCCACACGATGCATTTGAAGTACATCTGATTCTGCCTTACCTCCCTTGTAATTTCTAGGCAAGTACTTAATTTTCTTGTCCTTTGGCTGCACCTTAGCACCGGCAGAGACCAAACTGTGGACTATCTCACCTGTCCGCAGTGCACACGGCTTCATCGGCTTCAAGAAATGCTCGGCAGCCTTACTTGGCGACTCCTTCCAAATTGTCAAGCACAACCTGCACCTGACCTAGTACTCCGCCCTCCCTTTCAAAGTAGCTGCCTCCTGTCCCTGCTCACACCAGATCCAAACCTTGTTTTTCTTTCGCAGTTCGACATGTGGCGTCCCGCCGTCAATTGAAGTAGCCAATGCAGACGTCGTCCTTTGCGTGCTCGACTCAGGCCTGTCAACAACGGGCAGTGCAGGTTCTTTCGCCTTTGCCGCTGCGGATGCTCTTCCCCGACTGCCCCGTTCTTCAGCACCCACCGTCATGGCCACCGGTGAGAGATAATAGCAAGAACAATAACAAAAAGAGGAAGAAGAAGAAGAGGAGGACAAGGAGGATGAGGAGCACCTTTTTCAAGATTAAAAAAAACGCGGGCTGACTGGCTATGGTTGGAGGGGGACAACGGGACTGGTGGACGAAGAACAGGAAGGGCTATGGCTACCAATGTGGGGGAAGAAGAAGACAAAGAAAGAAAAAGTAGAAGAAGATGAAGAAGAAAAAGTTAAAATAGAATATAAAAAAACTCATTGGCTTTGGCTATGGCTACGATAGTGGGGCAGACTCAAAGAAGAAGAAGAAGAAGAAGAAGTGAAAAAAGAAAGTTCATAGGCTATGGCTATGGCTACGGGAGAGGAGGGAGAAGGGGAAGAAAAAGACGAAGAACAAGAACAAAAGCAGCAGTTAAGAAAAGAAGAAGTCTGCCTATGGCTATTGCTATGGCTACCGGTGTGGGATAGAAGAAGAAGAACGAGAAGAAGAAGAGGATGAGCTAGAAGAAGAATAAGAAAAATGTTGCTTTTGGCAAGTTTGCCTACGGTGTCGAACATGGGGGAGGGGAGAAGAAGAAGGAGAAGAAGGAGAAGGAGAAGAAGAAGAAGAAGAAGAAGAAGAAGGGAAATACATGTTCCTTAATCAGAAGCAGCAGAAGAAGAAGTCGAAGAAGAAGAAGAACAAGGAGGTGAGGGAGGAGGGGGGCTTAAGGGACTGGTTGAGCAGTTTCACGAGCTGTTCGCCCCTCCCTTTTCTCTCTGTCCCTCTCTCTCTCTCTCTCTGTCTCTGTCTCTCTCTCTCTCTCTCTCTCTCTCTTCCAATGCAGCGCAGAATTCGGCGCGCCCCACCAACTTCTGCGCTCGCTCAAAGTACTACGTGAAGTTGCAAACTTCACAAAGTTGAGCTCTACCAGAAGAAAAAGAAGAAAGAGTAAGAAGAAGAAGAAGAAATAGAGGAAGCATAGGAAGAAGCTCTTTGATGGAGGGGAAGTTTGACAGCGGGGCAGGGCGATGGTGACTCCACAGAGGCTGGGGCAGACGGGGGATGCAACGAAGTCTCCACTTCGTTCACGGTCGATGAAGTGTCAAAGTGGCGGGGTGCACATCTCCAAAGCGGCGGAAGGCAGGGGGGGGGGGGGGGGGGGGGGGGGGGGGGGTATTTTGGGGGTGTTAGTGGGGTGATTGCGAACACTGGCCAATGTGTACCTGACTTTCCTGCAAACACTGACCAATGTGTACCTGACTTTTCTGCAAACACTGACCAATGCGTACGTGCAACAGCAGGAAACATGAAGGAAGCCATACCTCACAAGGCTACACAAGCAGTAAACATGAGCAAAGAAGGCTACCAAAGAAGAAGAAGAAGACGAAAATGAAGAAGAAGAAGAAGACGAAAATGAAGAAGAAGAAGAAGAAGAAGAAGAAGAAGAAGAAGAAGAAGAAGACGAAAATGAAGAAGAAGAAGAAGACGAAGAAGAAGAAGAAGAAGAAGAAGAAGAAGAAGAAGAAGAAGAAGAAGAAGAAGAAGTTGAAAAAGAAGTTATGCAGCATTGAACTTGCTTTGAGATCATTATTCCTGTTCACAAAATGAAGCCCTCGCTCTCTTTCTCTCTCTCTCTCTCTCTCTCTCTCTNAGGGCAGGCATATGTTCGGGCGGTTTCCCGCCCGAATCTTAAAAACACGGTGGCCTATCTGGGCCGCCGATCTTCCGAGATCGGCGGTCCAGATAGGCCGACACACACACACACACACACACACACACACACACTCACACACACTGTTCAATATTTTTTGGGGCCGGGAGGCCTTCACGACCCGCATGGAGGCCTCTCAGCCCCTAAAAAAATTGAACCCCCCCGAGATCGAAATGCGCAAATGGCAACCGGAGGGCAACCGGTGTGGTCCACCGGCCGGTACGACTGCCCCTGTTCCGGCGGGGGGAGGGGGCCCCGGTGGGACCGGGTATGCAGCACTGGTCTTTTGAGATTTGCTCGGGTACGCTTAGGCTGGCAGGCGAGCTGCGCAGCAGACCAAACTGTTTGCCATTGCCAACTACCGTCTTCACCCAAATAGAACGCCAAGTCATTGTAGCTGTATTTGGTGCAACTTTCAGTCCAGATATGGCAGTAATTGCCGGTGGAGACGGTAGTTTGCTCCAATGGGAAAATGAGAGTGGCAGAGAGATTGGGTGCAGCCAGAGCCAGGTCATTCCGGCGCAGTGATAGCCATCTACTGCATAATGTTGAACTCCGTTGGATGTGTGTGATCGGGGCGGTTGGGCAACCCTGTACACGCAAGAATTTCTCTCGTCAATGTGAAGTATTCAAATTATGTCCATTCAGTTTGAAAATTTTATGGAGCTCCCCATGGTGTCTGGTTGCTTCCAAATTCCAATGAATTGTGAGTGTCTACGGTGTGTTGGAAACACATGAAGTCATGGTTAAATGTAACTTTCTCTGTGTGTGTGTGTGTGTGTGTGTGTGTGTGTGTGTGTGTGTGTGTGTGTGTGTGTTGCATGCATCTTTCTGTTAATTCCCACTGCTTCAGGATATCAATGGGGACCCTATGCCAAGGCTGGTGTACGTTTCTCGAGAGAAGAGAACAGGGGTGAACCACAACAAAAAGGCAGGTGCTATGAACGCTCTGATGCGGTCAAGTGCTCTGATCACGAATGGGCCTTTCATTCTCAATCTTGACTGCGATCATTACGTCAACAATGCGAAAGCAGTTCGAGAGGCTATGTGTTTCCTGATGGATCCCAAGAAGGGGAGTCAGGTGTGTTATGTTCAGTTCCCACAGCGGTTTGACGGTGTTGATAAGAACGATCGTTATGCAAATCACAACACTATATTTTTCGATGTGAACATGAAGGGCTTGGATGGAGTTCAGGGTCCAATGTATGTCGGCACCGGCTGTGTGTTTCGACGGCAAGCGTTGTATGGATTATGTCCACCGATACCGAGTGGCAACCTGGACTACAAGCCCCCGTCTCGTGGATGCTGTGCTGCGCTCTGTTGCTGTTGCTGTGGTCGGCGCAGTAGCAAGGAAGCGCTGGAGAACAGCCGGCTTCTCACGGCTGTCATTCCAGGTCAGCAAGATGACGAGGAAATGCAGTTGGTCCCTACACAATGGCACACAAAGCGTTTTGGAATGTGCCGGAACTTTGTTGCGACCGTCGGCGATGCAGAGGGTAGCGTTCCTGACGTTGGAGCTTATCAGGTTCTGAGCGATGTGATCTTGGTCATTTCCTGTGGCTACGAGGAGAACACAGAGTGGGGAAAAACGGTCGGCTGGATGTATGGATCGGTTACAGAAGACATCGTCACTGGACTGATGATGCATGTAAACGGCTGGCATTCTGTCTACTGCATGCCGAAGAGGCCTGCGTTCAAGGGGTCCGCCCCAATTAATCTCACGGATCGTCTTGGACAGGTCCTTCGGTGGGCCACAGGTTCGGTAGAAATCTTCTTCTCRAGGCACAACCCGCTCTTCCACAACTACTTCAARAGTCTCAGGGTTATGCAGAGACTCGCCTACATCAACACCGTSGTGTACCCTTTCACSTCCCTTGCRTTGCTACTTTATTGCTTCTTGCCYGCGTTCTGCCTCTTCACCAACCAGTTCATCATCAATGAAATCACAGAGATTGCGGTTCTATACTTCTTATTGCTCTTCATCTCCATCTTCATGGTTTCCATCCTCGAAATCCGGTGGAGCGGTGTCTCCCTAGAGGAGTGGTGGCGAAACGAGCAGTTCTGGGTCATTGGAGGAACAAGCGCCCATCTTGCTGCTGTGACGCAGGGTCTGCTAAAGGTGGTGTTCAGAGTGGATATCTCCTTCACCCTTACGCAGAAGGGAAGTGATGACGATGATGATCCGTACGCAGAGCTTTATGCCTTCCGCTGGACGTGGCTTATGGTTCCTCCGACCACCGTTATGATTACTAACATCATTGCATGCTTTGCGGGAGTCTCGCGTGAAATGTACAAGGGAAAAAGCGAGCAGAACTGGGGTCGGCTTGTTGGAATGGTCTTCTTCTCCTTCTGGGTGCTCACGCATTTATACCCGTTTGCAAAGGGTTTGATGGGGAAGACCAACAAGACGCCAACGATTGTCATCGTTTGGTCAATCTTGTTGGCCATTTCTTTGTCACTGCTTTGGGTGCATGTCCTCTCCCCTCACTTCTAGTCAGTTGGTTTTCTTCCTCTGTGTTCCTTTGGCGGTTTGTCAGAAACATAACCTATAAGCCAGCTGCTCCTCTCCTGCCTGTGCTCACAAGGGTACTGCTGTGCTGCTCGCATCCCATTGTTTTATATGGACTTGACGAAGTACCCGGTCTGAGTAGACGAGTGAAAGCACCTGCCTGGACTCCGAGTCGTGAGGGTACCATTATTCTCTTTGCGTCCCCTTGTTTCATATGGATTCGACCAAGTACGTGGGATGAGAAGATGATCGAAAGCGCAGAGGTAGTGAGCCTGGTTTTGTGAATAGTTGACAGTGTGTGATGAGCTTCACCGCCCTGTTTTGAGGGTGCTACTGTTTGCCAGTTCGCTGCTCAACCACTGAGCACCCTATGTGCGTTCTTCTGCGAAGCAGGACTGGTGGTGTGATTGGTGATGTAGCAGTCCGAAGAGTTTATTCTGCTGCTAATTGTTCATGTGCTCTTGATGTAACTGCTGCCAATGGTGATAATTATCATGAAGATGCTGTCCAGCGTATTCGATGCCATCGCAGGTTGTGCGTCGCCGGAACCGTCTTTGCGGCTTTACGTGATCTTTGTAGACTCGGTGGTAACCGTCGTGTTAGTCTCCTTGTTTTGGACGACATGTGCGCACTTCAGTCCGCAGTGGAGGGGGGCCTGAGATTGCTGCAGTTGTGCAGAGGGGACGGCAGTTCAAAAAAAAAGTTGATCTCTTCCATGGCCATTGCAACGTGTTACGGCATGTGGGCTTAGCGCAGGCTCATGCAGATGAGTTCTTCTGATCTCCTCGACTTGTAACGTATGAGCTCTGCTGCATCAAATGGACAATTTCATCGTATTCGCTCCACAAAGGCGACTGACGCAATTCCACACTCGTTTAAGTGGTTGTTCTCCTCAAGAGGTGTCCTGATTCTCCATCTACGCTCTATCTGTAGCTTGTTGCTGGGTGATTCTTTATTGGTTTTTAAGTTTAAATTTGCTGTTTGGTCTGTTTCCGTTTAACCACTGAGAGAGAGAGAGAGAGAGAGAGAGAGAGAGAGAGAGAGAGAGAGAGAGAGAGAGAGAGAGAGAGAAATGTACAGATGCGTTTTTTGTATGCGGGATATCCAGAGTCAGAGTGATAGACAGGCTTCAGTCTTGAAAGCTATCTGGGGCATCGTGGGTTGTTTTCACTCGGGAGGCGTCAAAGAAGGGGGCCTTGGGCAGTGTGTATCATCTGTATGGAAGTCCATGGTCTCCGACCAGAGTGTATTCTTGTGAAAGTAAGTATCACGACCAGCGAGCGGTAAGGGACTCGTTCAGGAAAGAGTTGATGTGCATAGCCGGCGTGAAACTTTTCTGAAGACGGAAGACGACCTCTGACTCTTCGAGAGGTTTCTGTCTTTCTAGCAGTGCGCTGGTGAGGGGAGTGGTTCTTGAGGCAATCACGAGCAAGGGCTTCACCACACCACTCTCGAATTGTGGGCAAAATGAGAATGAATTTCCTGCTAGACCATGGCCAGATGCATGGCCACATTTTTGTCTTTTTTACACTCCGAGAGTGGTGTGGTGATGCCCTATTGAAGCCAGTTGGTTTGGATTTTTATTTATGCTTCTAAGGTAAAGTGGTTCTGAGCCTTTTGACTGTATCTCTTTCTTTTTTTTTTCTTCTTTTTTTTCTTTTTCTTTTTCTTTTTCTTTTTCTTTTTCTTTTTTTTTTTTTTTTTTTTTTTTTTTTTTTTTTGAAGTCCAGGGTGTTGTAGAGGCTAATTACCAGGCACACACAGGGATCACCGGAAGCTTTTGACTGTATCTCAATCCCCTTGTTGATTGTGTGGGCGTCAACTTGGCGAATGTTTGGGCAGCGAGTCGCTGGTTCTGGGAAGGCTTTGTTCATTTGAACTAGTACGGAGGTCCCTGAGACATTTTAACAGAGTTTTGTGTGCGGTTGGTGTTTCACTTCGTGCATCTTTTCTTGTTTCGTGATGAGAATGACTACTTCCAACCCCCGGCTTGTATAGAGAGATTCTCTGCTGGGAGAGAGGGAGCCGCAACTGTCAGAGCCTTCGTCAAGGCGGCTCCTTGCCAGACTGCTGCAGTGTGCTATTTCTCAAGAAATCTGGTTTTGCCGCATTGTGCATGGACGCTCACTGTGTCTTCGTGACTCTGTCGTGGACGGTACATGTCGTCTCCGTGTAGCATGCATTACACTTTTGTCTTGTTGTTTGTGTGTGATAACGTCACAGCATGTTGTGTTGAAAAGTACACTCAGTCTGTTAAGAAGCCCAAAACAGGCCCTACCCCAAGCAGGACCCAAGCCGGAAGCAGACCAAGTAGACGAGAAGCATGCAGAGAGACCCGGCCTTCTCGTAAATTAAAGGTAAAATAATCTTCTGATTTTCAGCAGTTGTTCATGAATATCCTAGTATTCTCAGCAGAAGCCGGGTAATGGCCCCAGTGTAGCATTGTTCAGTAATTTTGTGTAAGGGATGCTGGGCCCGGTGCGCAGCATGTGTTGCTCGCCACTGATAGATCGGAGCATTGTCCCTTTTTTGTGGTTTTGTTCTGTTTTTTCAATACACACGGATTAATAGTATTTACAACCCAGGGAAGAATCTCGTACCTATGCGAAACCCACAAGCAAAAGAACGAAGAAGACGCCTGCTGAAGCCGCGGATATCTCCCTCGTCTTGGGACATTTTTCTATCTTCTTCTTTTTTTTTTTTTTTTTTTTTTTTTCTTAACGAACATCCCTCACGGGTGAAAGTCATGCTGGTAGGAGCAGACGCCACTATCGCCCAGGGGAGATTCCATCTATTGGCGGGGAGCTTTACCTGCTGGAAACCGGGTCCAGCGTTCGATTAACATCAGGTATCCCTGAATTTATTGTAGAATGAGTCTGAAAGCTGTCTGCATTGATTGCCCTGGAGTCCGGGGGATTGATTGCGCAGGTTACAATGACTTATTGACCTTTGCCTATCTTTTCAGGACCCTGCTCAAGCAGGCACAGAAGGGGGGTTGGTAGGTGGCAGTTGGAATGATGAGGATGGGGCTCCTTCCTCCAGGGGGCAACGAGATGAAGGGGCTCCATCCTCCATTTCCGCTGCCCAGCTAACGAACTCCTCGCCTGTCCAGGTGTAGCGGTCCATCTCTATTTCCTCTATTCCCCCTACTCCCTGCGGTACTAGCTTAATTCTATCAATGTGTGATCAGGGAGGGGGAAGGGGTCTGGGAAATCTGTGGGAGGGGGGAGGGGGATCTAGTCAGGGGTTGTGGTCCAATCATTGAAACAGAGCCAATAATTCTTCTCCCTGGCTTCCAATCGATGATCGCCGTCTAGTTGCCAGCCATCCCATTGTACCCTTGTTATCGTCCCCTCACGTCCCCCTCCCAGCCAGTCCATGCAGAATTCATTTAGCTAGCGGATGATATCGGTCCTTTTAGAGAGGGGCTTTGTCATCTGTACTAGTGTCCATCGAGCCCTGATTGCTGTTCATTTAGCTAGTGGATGATATCGGTCCTTTTAGAGAGGGGCTTTGTCATCTGTACTAGTGTCCATCGAGCCCTGATTGCTGTCTCAATTGTGTCCTTGATCGTATCAGTCATTCGCCCCTCCCCATATGTGCGCTTTCAATGGTCAATATGCAACGGTGCCTCCAGGTGGCCCACAGCACCGCTCTCTTACCAATCGAGAACAGGTTAGAAGTGAAACCTGAACCTTGGGCCGTCCAATGTCCACAGAGCAGGGCTCTCCACTCCCATGGCCAGTCAGGTACTGTTCCGAGGGAAGCCCAGATTCTTGCCCACCATCGCCAGACATGCGTCGAGGATGGGCATTGCAAGAAAAGATGTTCAATGGTTTTGTTTGCCTCGTGGGATGGAAAATCCTCCAGGCAAAGCCGCGCACCACGGGAGGGCCGTGCCTCTCTGCTCCAGGCTAGAGGGGTCAATGAGCCATGCGTTTGTGGGGAGACAGCGGTGGGCGATTTGCCATTTTAGCGAGGCTAGTTTGGTGGGTGTACACTTAGTCTCCTTAAACCATTGGATTGGTCTCAATGTCTCCAATGATACGTTCAGGTGCCTCGCCCATTGGTCCACGATCCAATCTTCCAGGCTAATTCGAGATCTTAGTAACCCCCAAGCTGTGCAGGTACCGGTATCGGGGTTGTAGGTCCCGTGACGGGATCCGCCACCTCCATTCGTCCGGGTCGATGCTCGGGCCTGAAGACTACCCAGTAGTCCCCTTCCTTCAACACTCTCACCCTGTGAATAGCTGCCTTCGGGAGCGAGAATGCCTCATCTGGGACCCCACATACCAGTCTGTTCTGGCGGGTCCTATAAAACAGATTTACCAGCGCTTCATCTCGACTGGTCGTGAACACTTGATCGACACCCATCCTCATCGATAGCCACCCAATCTCCCTCCAGAAACTGCGGGCCACGCCGCAACATCTGCACCCATGCTAAGGGAAGGAGAAAATTACTTATGCGAGATTTTCCCCAATCCGGTGGCAGTGTGGCAGTATACTTCGGAGTTTGGCTTCTGATATCCAATCATTGTGTGTGCTGTCCCAAATGTTAGACTTTATGGACACCGTGCCTGACCCAAGAGTTCCACAGACTTCTGGATTTTGTGAGGACTCTCCCCTGACGGTCTGTTATCCAACGGTTTCCAAACAGAGGTTGGCGGAGCACCTCCTCCCACCTACTCGGCTCTGGTCTGTCCAGGAGGGGGAGCCGCCGCCAGTCGTGGACCAGGAGAGCTCAAAAGTTGTCTTTTTTAAGATCTGCGTGGGCTTCCTGTGGCGAGGGAACCACAAAACACAGAACGTGATGAGCAGGGACGCGTGGGAGGCGTTTGTTCAACCCAAGTCCCACGGTGGCTTGGTGACTCTGGATCCAGACACCCAGGCAACTGCCCTGGCCCTGCAGTGGCTTAAAAGATTAATCTGCACACCTAACCTCCCATGGGAACCCCTAGGATTAGAGCAAGTAGCACGACTAGCCCCCGAATTTCGGCCTCCCACCCATCCTCTTGTTTGGCTGGACGACGTGTTTTGGGCAGTCCCCAGATCCTCCAGTGGACCGGCTGCGCATTCGGACACTATTCTATCTCGCTGGTGATTTTTGAATTATTTTCTATCCGATTTGCTTGTCGGCGAAAAGCAACCGAACTGGTGCCCCCCAGAAGTGTTATGTACTTGAAAAAAAACAAAGAACAATAGAAGCACGAGTACCAAAAAACATCCAGCGGCCTAGCTCAGTTGGTTAGGCAAGCAAGTGGCATTCAGGAGGTTGTGGGTTCAACCCAGAAGTGTTATGTAATTAAAAAAAAACAAAGAACAAAAGAAGCACAAGTACAAATAAACATCCAGCGGGGACCCCTGCAAGCATAGTTTCCTCTCACTGTGAAGGAGAGGTTTCATGTTGCCCCTTGCCCCTAATGTTTAGGGTATAGGGTTGGGGCTGCCAGTGGGGGTCTGGCTAACACAAAGACCGAGACCTGCCAGTAGCTGCGCCTCCCCATCGTCCCCCACTCCTCATCGAGTAGCAGCAGTAGCTATGGCGCCAACACTCTCCCACACACCACACACAACCCACTCGCGCTCGCACTCACACCCATGTTGGTGATAGATTATGCTAATACCGATCAGGAGTATCCAGAGGACTATCCCAGTTCGTTGGCACGAAGTGCGCCGCAGGCGGTCATGGGGCTTGAACCCACAACCTCCTTGCAGGGGTCCCCTCTAGATAGCCTTAGGAGTAGGTAGTGAAAGGCAAAAACAGAAGTTGAGAGAAGAATATAGAAAAAAAAAAAAAAAAAAAACATTCAGCGGCCCAGCTAAGTTGGTTAGGAAAGCAAGTGGCATTCAGGAGGTTGTGGGTTCAAGCCTCGTGACCCGCCTGCAGCTCACTTAGTGCCAACGGACTGTGATAGTTCCCTGGATACCCCTGATAGGTATTATGGGGTCTATGACCAACATGGGAATGAGTACGAGCATGAGTTGCTGTGTGTGGTGTGTGGGAGTGTGTTGGCCATATCCTCTGCTGCTACTCGATGAGGGGTGACTCTGCTGCTACTCGATGAGGGGTGGGGGATGATGAGAAAGGGAGGCGCAGCTACTGGCAAAATGCTCGGTCTTTCCGTTAGCCGGACCCCCACCGGCGTCCCCTCCCCATCTCTGACTATCGCAGTTGGGGCGGGGGGGCAATCCCTATGCTTGCAGGGGTCTCCTCCATAGAGCAGTGTATTTAAAAAAATAAAAAAAAGGCAAAAAGAATTTGAGAGAAAAATGCAGTGTTGTTTTGTAAAGAAAAAAAAAGAAAAAAAGAATAAATCTCAAGAGCGGAAAAAGAAACAGAAAAAACTGTCCATGATAGATTGAAAAAAAAGAACTGAGCGTTGAAGAGGTGAGCATTGTTGGTTTCTACCTTCACCTGCAATTTGCCCGCCCTCCTGTCTCTTAGCCTCACCCGTCCTCGGGCAAAACATTTTTTTTCGTCTCACGTTTTGT